TCCGCAGCTGCGGGCCTAATGACTCAGCAAACCAGTTTGCAGCCTGAGCACCTTGCTTAATCAGTGAGGGCTAGGCCAGGGTGCTAGTTACCTGCAAAAAAAAAAAAAAAAAAAAAAACGACAACGCTACGGCACTTACGCCACCCCGACATCATTCCACGACCTGCAGAACTTCGCGAAGCCGGCATCAAGTTCAAATTTATAGCGGCCGGCCCGGGCATCGGGGTTGTTACGCAGCCGGGACACCACATGGTCCTTAACATGACTGCTTCGCTCGCTGTGGCTATTAATCTGCTCCCGCCTGGCAGCCCCCTCTTTCCGGACGAGAAAATTGAAGTTTGCACAGAGGACGGGATGTTTGCGCTCGTAAAAGAGTTTCCGTCACACTTTGAAACTGTACAGCACAGATTGCTACCGCTCCAAGCAACACCGGAGACACACCGGGAAACACAGCCGGCTCAGCGGACGCAACGATCTGCTACCCTGCGCGGTGCAAAGCAAAAACCACCGAGCCTGGCAAGGGATACAGGCAGAGAGCAGAAGACGGGCTACAAGCAGCAAAGCGAGACCTCCGAACTACGGAGGTCATCAAGAACCAAACGCACTGCCGCCCCAGATGAACCACCATCCGACGAGCCCGGTAGCCACCATGGTACAGCATCTACGAGATGCAGACGCCATCGCACGGGGGTTTCGTCAGAGCTTCGAGGGATGGTGGACGACTTCCGGGGTTAGAAGTCAAGGAAGCTGATATAATCCGCGCAGCGGTTGAATACTGCAGATGGCGCTACGGTCCCAGCAGTCAGCTGGCTACTATAGCTTTGTATCATGGATGGCGTGGATTAAGGCTAACAAGCTTCTTAGCATTGATAAGGAAAAGGCGGGACGACAGCGCAACGATGAAGCCACGCTCAAAACGACGTATTCAGACGTCGGCAGTACCTTGAAATACCCTTTCAAAAATCGTCTTACGGAAGCAGGAAAATTGGAAGCTTTTGGGCCATTTATGGCAATGCTTCCCTTCCATGGGCACCTGGGCGACGGTCTAACAGTTCGGCACTATGAAAGGGTTGCGCAGGGTGATATGCAAAAGCTGAAGGAGCAGTTGTCGATGGGCATTGGATTCACAGTTCGAAAAGGTGGTGGATGAGTTTTGACATCTTATCGGGGACGAAAAGAATATCCAAGGAGAGCTTGGGAAGATGTCGAAGAGACAAATTTGGGACGATTATCCCTGAAGCGCCAAGCGGAGCTGTTCCAAGCCCGGAAGGAGGAGTAGCAGCTCGCCTAGAATGTTTTGCCGAAGGCATTGGGGCGGCTAGCGTAGAATGACATTTCAAGCCTTACGTCAGCCCAGGCTGACGTGCTGACTAATTATTGCCACTGGGGTGCGAGGACCAGATCAATTGGCTACTGGACTTAAGATTCTAAGGTAGGGAGGAAAAGGAAAAGGAAAACGGCTCGCCGAAAGCCTGAGGTGCCGCCTTTGTCCTCCGCCTTTATCTAATCTAAAGTGGGTCCACCTGGGACAGCCGTGATCGTCACACTACCCCCTTCCAAAGCGAAGAACAAGAAGCGCAGCGGTTCTGCGTCAAACCTCCCGGTATTCGCCAGTCCTATAGTTGAAAATGACATGTTTACCCTCGTCGTCCGTCGATAACTCTTCTTCTTTTTATTAGACCGCAACTGTACCGATTTGCATAGCGTCGGTCGTGCGGGGCGGTGGTCGGACCGAGGACGGGCTGGCTTGATGTAAAGGATTGCTATCGTCAAGTTGCTGAAGTACCTTAACGAAATCAGGGTAAGTCGACGGCAGTGTAATTTGTGTACGAAGACGTTTCTTGAGTTTATCGTTTAACTGCTGACGAACCAGGCTGATTTTGGCTTGGTCATCCCATTCGTCCGCTTCGGCTTTATAAAGTTGTCGCTCAAAAACTGCGAGGTATACATTGAAAGATTGATCCGGGTACTGTTTGAGCGAATATAATTTGTCTTGTGCCTCGCGAATGGCATTGGGGTTGTCACAAAGTCGAGCCAGCTGGTTGAACAAATCTTGAGGACGATAAGATTGGGTCGATTCGGCCTTTTTGAGCTGTGGAGCGACCAAAGCTTGAACTTTCTTCTCGAGGCGGCCGTAAACGTACCAAAACTTGGCTTCGTTCGTATCGCCAAAAGCTTTGCTATCGATTCGAAGCTTGGCGTTAATTTCTGGGTTCCACACTTCCCACATTGTCGAAGTGCCATCGAATTTGTCAGGGTGAGGAAGTTTCGCCTTGGTGGCAGAATTCGGCTGATGTTGGAAAGTTAACTCAAGGGTTTGAACTCTGGCTTGCAGGTCGTTAATTGTAGCCGTGAAACGCTGTTCTTGTTCATTAAGGGCTTGCCGAAGTAGCTCCTGGATTTGGGGCTGATCCATGGTAGAAAAATTGTTGCCATTATACCACCTACCAAGTGGTGCAGCGACCACGTGATTAGCACGTGGCTTTACCCCGCCGTAGTGTTACAAACAGGCTTCCACTGCTCCTAAGGTAGGGCGGCCTTGTAACGAACAGTGGTGCGAGCCTTATGCCACTGAGCCAATAGCATTCCAAAGGTCATCAATTCAAGCCACTGCTCGAATCGCTCGTCTGCACAGCTTATATGGGATAAGTGCACCACACCTCACTAGGCTGTTACAAGCCTAGGGAAGGCGTCGAACAGTACACTTGACAAGGGGTTCTGATCTTGGAGACAATAGTCTAGCTATTTGCTCAAGGGGATACCTTGAAGCTAACTTAGGTTGACTGATGCCGAAGCCTTAGTCAACAACTATCTACTACACTAGGAATCTCTTCCTTTTTACACATGTGGGATTCTACTGCTATGTTTGATATGTGTGATATGCTGTGATCCTTCCGATCTAACATATCACCTTCGATCGGGGTGCTATGGCTGATATGTTCCTAGCAACCCGATCCCACGTATCACCTGGGAGGCACGTAATCTTCCGTCAAGTGGTAGGGTCCTGACAGCCTGACTGTCACCCTCCACCTTGACGTCCCGTCCTCCCCTGGCCTTTTCTATCTGGTCGTAACACATAGATAGATATCCCCGCCTCGCGAGGAGGCCCACAGGGCAAATTCCTTGAATGAACAATCTTCCGCACCACTAGTTTATTGACCCCCATCTAGCTGACACCCCCGTTAAGTCGGCTAAGCATTTTAATGTCCATTTCACTCCGGCTGCCGGAAGCTTGCTGGGCACTGCTCTGAAAATGGTGGCTGCTCATTGGCTGTCCAAACGGGCAAACTAGCTGGGTGCCCGGGGTAGCCACGCCGTCCTGGATGGTCGGGACTGGAACAAAAAAAGTAAAGCCGGGATTAACTGGCTGGAAGACGCACTCTTTGCCGACCTTCTCGCAGTTAAAGCATTTTTGCATGGTTTGGTAACCACTGCAGCGAATCTAATCCACTCCGAAAAAAATCGCGGGTTAGTTAACTGTAGCTAAAGCGCACACATGGGATAATGTCTGGGTAGGGAAGTTAGGCGGAAGAGCTGACCTTGCGCTTCCTGCAATACCTGCACGCAATCGACGTGCGCTGCCTCGGGTTAAAGGGGGGCCGGTTTAGCAAAGACGCTATGGCCAGCCCCGAGTTCTGCTGCTGCTGTGGTAGCGACGGTGTTGGTCCCCCGAAGTTAAGTGCCTTGCGCTTGGTCAGGCCTTGCCGGGTGGACGGGAAAGTGATGGGCGGCATGTTATACGGGTCGAATAAACCCCTCCGCGGTTGCCAGGTTAAGAATGGCTCGCTGCACCGGCAAGATGATGATAGACGGCGTGACCAAAGTTGAGAAAGCAGTGCTTGGAGCCTTTTTACCTCCTAAACCCAACGAGATTTGGGCAAACCCAACTGACCGAAAGGTTTGTTAGGTACGGGAGGGAAGAGTTTGGAGTGTGGGAGTGAGGAGGTAGTGCACGGGCTGGCGAAACCGGGGCGCGGCGGGCTGGCTTTAAAATCGTGGGTTCCGTCAAGGGGGTCCCAGTCGTAAAAGCAATCCCTAGCAACGTGCTAGCGCTGTCCGTCAACGTGGCATGGGCTAACCGGGAGCGCTTTGCGCCTTACGCCAAACATTGCCACGTCGTTATCGGCGCCGATAAACCTGTTGGTTCTGTCGGTTGGAATAGTCGCGGTCCCCAGCCACCCTGGTGCTCCAACCAAGGAGGCGTGTCCTTCGCCCTGACATGGGTATAGGATACGTCTTTTAATTGGAGGTAGTAACCGGCGGAACCTACTATAGTTTTGGTGTGATTGCTATGGTTGCCTTGCAGCCAACCGTAAAGTTTCTTTGGGATATTTCGCAGGGATACCTGTGGTTCTCATTTTAGCGGGGCAACCTAGTTAGCTCTAAACTGCATCGTTACGCCCAGCCAAGTATCTGCCTTGCGCAGGTGGTACTGACATGATGCCAGTGGGGTGGACCCACAAGAAAGCTTCCGTATACCTTGGCGGTTACATGGTACATATGTACTGCCTGGGCCACTAACCCGGTGTTTTCACGGATTGGGGGCACCCCCGGGTACAGTAGCCGTTGCAGGGAACCCTCGACACGCATTTTTATACCTTTTACCGTTCTACAGGCGCCTGACCGGGCTTGTCGACCGTAGTTTTAGATTGCGATTGAGCGACCCTTTCTCACTAACGCCCACACCCGGGTGGTAACAGTAGTTTTTGTAGCGTGCAATAGGAAAAGTTGTCTTCATTTAGTTGAACATAATTAAACTTGCAGCGGAGCGAGGCGGTTCCAAAATGGGAGCAGCCGCAGGTGCCGGGATCGTCAAAACGGGCGACGGCTAATTTACTAATATTTTTCTATGGGGTGTGGCGGACGGGGGGTGTCCCGACCTACTACATCTAGTGTGAGGCGGGGGGGGGGGGGGGGGGGGTAATTGGCGGCTCGGGAGAGGAGGTAGTGTGAGGGGTGTAGCTGTCGATTCGCCTAGTCCGTGCTGGGCGTAATCCTTTTTGGCCTCTCCTGTATTTGCACGCCCCTCCCCGCCAGCTCTCGCCGCAAAGGCACGCCGGGGTGTTTTGCAAGCAAGACATCGAGCTCACAAAAGCATGAACTGGCTTTTAAAGTGGTAGTATTTTTTTTGCAGGGGTTGGAATGCGCTTAAAAGATTGGCACCAATGTTGCGTGGAAAGTGGAGCCAGGGAGGGTGTTCCTAAATTTTGCGCCTAGCTATGCTCTTGGCAAACCAGGGCATTCTCTTGGCAAACCAACACCCACCTTTAGCAAAAAAAGGTGCGCCCCCTTCCATTCTTGGCAGACAAGGTCACACTCCTTGGCGAACTAAAACGCCTCCTTGGCGAACTAAGGCGCCTCCTTGGCAAACTACGATACGGCGCTGTGGCACAACGCCATGGCCATTATAGCCCTCCAACTCTAAACAAATTGCCAGATTTGTTATTGTTGTCCTTCGGTTGAGTTAAGGAGGGCTTCACTTTGCCGAACCTGTCACACTGCTGCCAATAACAACACACTTAAACGGCTGGTAGATATTTGAAGGTTGCTAATTTGCCAAAGGTACTTCAAGGTAAGAACTTTAAACAGTGGTTATCGAATTTGCATGCATCACCCCGTTGACCGGGCGCCGACGGAAACACGACACAAAAGTAGTAAATTGGGATTTTTCCCTGCTCCATTGCACGCACGTACGCATTCGGCGGTCCGCACAACGGGTAAGGCTTCTGCCACTGCACATTAGAAAACGCACATTTTTGATGTTAAACAGTGCTAATTAACAATTGGACCGCGTTTGAGTAGAAAGTATTGCCATCAGGATTAAAGTTGTTTGTATCCTTTTGTCGGTGGTTACTGGCTACTGGGTCCTTTTAATATCTTTTGCATTATTACTTGGCGGAAAGACGTGGAAGGTGAAAGGCTGCTAAAACTTTACTATAACTAGCGCTTTAATACAGTTTTTAAAAAAAATGATCGCGATTAAAAAATATAAAAGAACGCTTTAAAAGTAACAGTGCTGCCTTTCTAAAAGCTAAGGCTAAAATACGTATTTACCCCAATAATGCATAAACGAAATCGACTAAGTTTGTCCTCATTAATATCGTTTCTTAACAGGTCTAAGAGTTTAAGTAGAAAATGTGACACTTTTAACCCAACTTATAGCCCGGCAATAATTGAGCAATCAATACAAGATTCAAAGCGCCACACGGTCCAGCAATTTAACCTACAAGAAGAAAGTATCCTCTGTCTTTCTTCGGCATCAAACTCGGATTCAGAGCAGCAGGATAAATATTCGGATTTAAAGGCAACGAGCAAATCGCCGAAAAGGCGGAGCGCCTTGGCGAAACAAGGAAAAACACCAAACGCAACAAAAACTAAAAAGAGAATTCATTTTGCAAATGGCACGAAGCAAAATAACGGACCCAATGTGGAAGGAATACAAGCAGAAGAGGCCTTAATTGATATCGAAGGATTATACGATTATATGATTCGGGAATCACCTGAGAACCTAAGACCAGACTCTCCTACTCTCGGATACTACTTTGGTACTTAGGCGGGCTAAGTGGTGTTAAAGTTAGCTTTACTGGCGCACATGGACTGGGGTGCCGGCTGAACTACCTATTTTGGTAGGTGTTTGAATCATTATGCTAAAAGCTTTAAAGCGAATTACTTGAACCCTTTCTTAAATTTAAACGATTATTGCTTATCATTTTTGCCTCGTATGGAAAACTGTTGCAATTTATTAATACCGATAACCACTTTATTCCAAGCTGAAGCATGCTGGAAATGCCGGTACGGGCAACGCCGCTATGATGCCGGCTATAGACGGGCCGGCGCCTATTACGAGACCGGAATGGCGCCACGATAGAAGTGATTTGACCGGAACCTTACGGGTCCCCCCGATACTTATTGGCATGCCGTTGATGACATAGCTGGCTATGGACCTCCATACGTCCATAGACATCTGGTGTAGGAAGATTCTTTCCCTTTCTTTCCAAATCTACCAGACTATAGCTGTTGAAATATGCTGGGCATGGTTCAAGATTCCTTGCATTGCTTGCTTGTCTGGTAGAGCGCCTCTGTAAGAGGTGGGAAAGGTCATGGCCTTATATACATAATGGGCAGCCTGGTGTGGCTCGTGCTCCTAGTCACTAGCCAGAGGCATGTGACATTTGTTATTTCAACAATAGCTACGTGTCCTTTTCAAAACTCGATCTATATAAGGATTTCGTCTGGTTCACCCCAACGCCGGAATTACATAGCCACCAGGACAGGAATTATATGGCCACCGGGACATGAAACTTTTCAACAGCTCGAAAATGGAGATATAGCACATAGGAGTGGGGGCGGGAGGGGGCGGGGCGGGTGGGCGGCGGCAGAGAGCGTTATTAGATGGTCCGCCCAAACATGTACGACCTGTACATTCCCCCGACCTCGGCCTTGGCAACGGGCACCTTGCGCATGCCCCAGCAGCGCGTTCCCATCTTCCAGTGCCGCGCGCCGCTATCGTTCTCGTTGTCGCCGCCCTTACGAACTAGCCAAGACCGGGCGTCGATCTCCGAAACCCGCCACCGGTATCGGGCCAGCGCGCCCGTCGACTTGCGCACCTTTTTAAACACGCCCGGCGAGAATTCGACGGCCTCCAAAGGCTCCGTCAACGAGCGAAGCAATAACGAATCGTTGAAAAGCGTGGGCGTGTCTAGCTCACCGCCCCACATGTCCGATAGGTCTAAGCACCGCACCGTATGCGGCACCCACGACAGCTGCGCGGCCACCTCGGCGTCCGTGTACACATACCCCTCACCGCCGGGCCGAGCGCTCGCTTCGGGCAGGAAAAGTCGCTGCACGTCCCGCAACATCAGCGACCGGCCTAGTGAGAGCTCCTCCAAGTGCTTGGTCAGCGGAAGCAGCAGGTCGATATGCGACGGGTTCATTTTGCTGCCTTTAAGATTTAGTGACTTAAGCGTTTTCGGCAGGACCGGGATCAGCTCCGTCAGGTAATCCTCATTGAGGAGCTCGTGGCTGCGCGCGTCCGTCGCCAAGCTTAAAAACTGGAGGCTGTCCGGGGCCACCGCCGGGTGCGTGCGGAGGAACTCAATCACCTTCGGGGCCGAGAGCAGCTTGCACTTGGATAGGTTTAGGTGCGTAAGCCGCGCCGTTTTGGGGATGCTCCAAAGCGCGTTGTCCGTAATGCGCGTGCCCGCCACGTCCAGGTGCGTTAGCTGGGTTAGCCGCGGCATCAGCGCGTCCAACACAGTTACGGGAAGCGTTATGCACTTGTGGAGCGACAAGCGCTTAATGGTCAGCTCGGCCCGCCAGTCGTCAGTTTCGGCGGCCACCTCGGCGAACGCCGTCTTGAAGTTGGCCGACGAGCAGCCGCAAAAGTCAAGCGCCTGCAGCCGCTCGAGCCCGAATAGGAGCTTCCGCAGCACGGCCGCGTCGAGGTCGTCGTCGATATACTCCTGCGCCAGGAACTCCTGCAGGTGCGGCGTGAGCACCAAGCACTGCAGTAACGTCTCGGACGTGAGATTCCGTGCCTGAGATCGCTCCGATGCCGTTAAAAAGAGGGTTGATGGGTTGAAATGCGAGAAATCGAGCCGGCGCACGATGGTGCCCAGCGAGCGGTGACGGTTCACTTGAGCGAGGAACTTTGCGAAAGTCCTCGAGTGGGGAATCATGACTCTATTGTAGAGAGAACCAAGGGTCGCTGTGTGCATCGTTTTGGACAATAGGAGCAGCGATATAAGGTCGATATTGCGCCTCTCCAGCCCACTGGGCAGGATGTCCAGCACGAGCAGGTTAATAATGGCGGCTGTAGGGTGAGCTATTTGTTAGTTATAACTAGTGTTTTTTTACTTAAGGCATCGTTGCGCTATCTGGCCGTATGCTGCAACAAATTTTTGGTTTTCCCACTTTAAATAAACCTTAGATCCCAAAGCACTTCAAATCCCAAGCAACTGGGGAAAATCCCTGACGCAAGCTTAAGCACAAGCTGATGCAGCCCCGGGTTGTGGGAAAAAGTGAAATGGGTGGCACATACTTAACAACTCGGCCGGGAGCCTCTCGATGGGGGCATCTCCAGGGGCGTTGGTGCCAGTTCGCCGCTTCGGGGTCGGGGCGATGTGCGAGGCGATGTTAAGCACTTGCAGATCCCCGAAGCTCTTGCTGGCAAGCTTGCGGTTTCCATGGAGCCTGCTGCCCGGATGGGTGACGTGCGGGAGCCACTGGGTCTTGATGTTGCTGCCGGGGACGGCGGTGAGGTCAGTGGTTGTGGATGATGTTTCGTTGTCGATAACGGCAACATTATCTTTAGATGCAGTGTAGGATGATATTTTGGAAGCAGCCGAGGTCTGTGTGGAGGAGAAGGAAGTGCGGCCAGCCCTTTTAGGGCTGGTGTGCCTGGAGGAGCCGGCCATGGTTTTGTAAGCGGAAGGTGTAGCTTGAGCCTGGGGCTGTTGGAGCTGGAGACTTCCGGACGGCGGGCAGGGGCCCAGGGCTTTACCTCCCGAGCAGGGGACCTGGACAGTGGTTTGAAAGGAGTTTCGGTGTGACAGTTGACGTGATGGATGGGGCGGTGTTGCAAGCGGCGCCTGGTGCGCTGGTTACGCCCCCGATGGATACGAGATATGGTTAGGCAGAGTGGAAAGGCTAGCTTTCTACCGGTCTAAGGTTATGGCCACAAGATGATTTTTGAGTGTGGAATAGGATTTACGGTTAATATTTGTATAAGGACGGTTGATGGAATGTTGCTTATATAAATCACGCGTCTAATCCTAGACATGCACTAGTACCAGCCCGCTTCCTAAAGAAATGTTTACCTTTGGCTTTTAACAAACAGCTTTATATACAACTGGCCCTCTCGCAAATGATAGTGTAAGGTACAAGGAGGCAAGTGTGGAGTGAAGATATTTGTGACGTCTTGAAAAGCCACTTGCGGCGCTATCGAAGGCAGTTAATGGCGCTCTGCTGCAGTTTTCCCAACTTTAGTTATGGAAACCCATACAGTGATTGCATATGAAGCACTGGACTGGGAAAAGCCCTCTTCCCAAAGCCAAAAAACAATTAGCAAACTTAAGCTATTTCCAGTTTTTTCAGATCTCTGATTGAGTGTTACGACCACACTGCAGAAGGGTAGGGAGGCTAGGGCCAAGGGCCGGCACAGGATCATCTACCCCGCGGGCAGCCAATCAAGGAGGTCACGCGACACGGTTAGGTAATCCCAGAGGGATCTGTGGATCTGTAGCAAGAGCAACAGATCCAGAGGGATCTGTGCCAAGGGCAACAGATCCAAGAGACGGACAGGAAAGTACAAGTGTATAAGAAGGGGGGTTTCCTACTGTCCTAGGTAGCTGTGACTGAGGCCTCGGCATCAGTCAACCTATGTTGGCTTCAAGGCATCCCCTTGAGCAAACAATCGAGACCTCTGTTACCAGACCCGTACCCGGTACAAGGGACCTTGTGGTCCAGCACTGCTCAGCACCCTTCCTAGTGTGCTACTGTCAGAGCCAGATGGGGGTCAATAAACTAGTGGTGCGGAAGGTTGTATTCTCTAGGAATTGGCCCTGTAGGGCCTCCGCCGGGACGGCGGGGATATGGTAGGAGGTGCATATCACATGCTAGGGCACGTCATAGACTGCAACCCCTAGTAGCCGTGGCAGCTCCACCCTAGGAGCAGAGTACCGTTTGTAACATTGAGCTTTTGTCATACTCCACAAGATTAAATATCCGCATTACCTGTCTTACTCCTTTTAAGCCCATTTAAATCTCCTCATTTATGCTATGGTACGGCACTACCAGTCGTAGTTACTAGAGTTGATAATCGATTAGCTGGAGATTTAATAAGAAAGGACTAATAAGATAAAGGTGTGGCCCGAGACCACACCTCTCCTCCAACCTTCCTTTTCCTCTCCAGGTTAATATTCACACACATTCTGCGCAAGTTGAGGGCTTGATGCCACGTCGTGACATGAAAACGGTGGCGCCAATCATGTTTTTAAAAGTATCCATGAGGTCAGCCAATACCTTTGGTCGCACCTGCGGGCTCAGAAGAGCTCGGCTAGGTAAGATAAATTTTAGACTTAATAAAATTTGTAATTTCTTCTAATAAATATACCCACTAAGAGTTTATTTGAAAGCAGTGTGACAAAGTGGAAGGGATGGCACAGTAGGCTTCTATTGAAGAATGAATCTGTCTCTGAGGAAGAAAGGAATCTGGCACGGGGAGCCTCCGGCTCCCTGCCTATATATGCATCTTTGACCCCTGTCCCCCGTGCTCGATATTGGACCCTGAACCTCCACTGCCGTACTTCCGGTGCTCGGTACAGATGGAGCACACCGAATCGGTGTGCCCTGTCTGGGCCGAGCCTCGGTCCGCCCACTGTAGGGTGCCTCCTTTTGTGACACTTTCCTCTTTTTTTTCCCCTGCAGCTAGTGCGGGGGATAGTTGAGGAGACGGAGGAGAGTAAGGGCAGTGCAATCCCAGCGCTCATCAACTACCATATTATTTGTGGTGTGGATTGTCCCATCGGCGAGGAGGACGCGGTAGTTGGTGCAGCCATCGCATCTTATCATCTTGCATTTAACCAGCTGAGGTTGAAGCTTTTTCCCTTTTTTTGGATGGTATCAGGGCAAGTCTCTCGTGCCAGGTCCTTATGTGAGCGCCCTTGAGCGAGAAAGCAGAGAACGCTCGGCGCTTTGGCTGTTATGGCTGAGGCTGATCGATGATGTAGAGCCCATGCCTCATAGTGGTCGTAAAGAGGCAACGGCTTCTAAAGGTGCAACATGTCCCCTTACAGGTGCAAATGACTTCCTGTCCCTTTTTTAGGAAGCTGGAAACTGACAAAAGGTTGACTCCGGCATCTGGGTTGTAGAGGACGTCGTTGATGAGGCTATAGGTGCGCTTCCCCTTGACCATAATCTCCATCTTAATAGTACGGATGCCCCGAGGCTTGACTTCAGCCCCTCCAATTCCCATTATACCTGGTCCATGATAGGGCCGCCTGTTAACGAAGTGTATCTGGGTGCACATGCTGGGGTCGGATGCGCCTGTATATAGCACGATACATTCGCGCATGGCGCATGCCATTAGGGTCATTCATATTGCCGATATGTTATTCAGCGTATCAACTGTCGAGGAGTCGGTTGGCAGCGTTCCTTCGAGGTCAGGTGCTGAATAGTTCCTTAGGTGGAAGGGTAAAGTAAACGCGGCTGGTACTACGGCCATAAAAGTGTGTTTGGGTTTGTCAGGCCCGTCCACCGTCTATAAGAATCCTCCAAATGGGTTTTTGACCCGTTCTTCTCTTGTTCCTCGTCGGGTGAGTTACTGTCTGACTCTTCGCTCCCCTTTTTGCCGTGTGTAGATTTCTGGGTTCTCCATGTCTTGGCGCGGCTGATTTGTATCTTGAGATGAGGTTGAAAGGAAGACAGGCTTGTAGTCTTGGTCCTGGAGTTTCTAACTTTGTTCCTCTTATTCTACAGCGATAAGGGCCTTATCGAAGGTAACAGCAGGGATTTCCGTTCCGTCAGCAGCGTTAATCTCAAGGAAGCTGTTTAACTGGAAAAATGCTATCAGGAATGGCCTGTAGCGTTCGCCAAGGCTATTAGGAAACAAATGAGGAATGATGGCATCCGGGATCTTCAGCTTGCCAGGTTTACCGAGTGACTCCAAATCAGTTCTGTATTCCCTAAACTGTTCCGAAAAGGTCGTAACGCTGTCATTGCTGCTGGCGAATGTGGTTGTAGGAAGTTTCTGGAGGAGGAGCTGAAAGACGGCGTTTCCTGTTGGCTTAAAATGGGCCTCCAATCTGCTGATAAGGTTTTTAACCGTATCGGGCTGGCTCTTGTTGGCGTTAAAGTCCTTCGCGAGTTCGTCGGCGTTTTTGCCGAGCTTACTTCTGATAGCGCCGACTGCCTTAAGCTGGGTGTCCTGCCAGCGCTCAAGTCGAAATGCAAAAGTACCGTCATCTTCTCCTGGTTTCTGAGTTAGTGCATTACGTAACTACTGAGCGCCAAATACCATGTTAAGGGCCGGTTTATGGTTCGTTTGAACTTGGGCCAATCGCTTGGGCTTTCCAGAACTGGCACGCCGCTTAGGACAGAGCCGGCAGTGGTTGTTGTAGATGTGGAGGTTATGTTGGATTGGTTGGATTGGTTGGATTCTTTTGTTAGGAGTCACGCAAGCTGTCTTGCATGGTTTTATATAGTTGCAAGCTGCTATTCCCACGCTAACTGTTCCGTCTAGTTTATCGTCTTGGGACTTATTTGGTTGGTCGGTATCTGTAACTGCCTTGGCCGGTCAGTATCCGGGATTGCCTCGGCTGGTCGTAGTTTGTAACTGCCTCGGCTCGTCGTGGTTTGTAACTGCCTCGGCTGGCCGTAGTCTGTAACTGCCTTGGCCGGTTGGTGTCTGGGACTGCCTCGGCTGGTCGGGGTCTGTGACTGCCTTGGCCGGTCGTGTCTGACTGTTCTGTCTGGTCCACTGTTTCAGGGCTTATTCGGCTGGCCAGAATCTGATGTTGCCTCGGCTGGTCCGCTGTTTCGGGACCTGTTCGGTTGGCCAAATTCTAGGGCTGCCTCGGTTGGTCGGGGGCTGTGCCTGTGCCTGTGCTGGTCGGGTCTAACTGCCTCAACTGGCCGAACCTGACTGCCTTAGATGGCCGGGTCCAACTGCTCTGGCTAGTCCATATCTCAGCTGGTCGGGTTTGTCTAGACTGCCTCGGGTTGTTTCGATTGGCGACAGCTTCGGCTAGTTATGGTCTCTGCCTGCCGGTCCTTGGTCTTGCCGTTCCGGCTAGTCCACTGTTTTCAGGACCTTTTAGGCTAGTTACGGCCTGTAACTGCTCCGGTTAGTCCGAGTTAGGGATTGCTTTGGCCGGTCGTAGTCTTGGCTGGTCCTTATGTGGACTGGCTCGGCTGTCTCGGTTGGTAACTGCTTCGGCTGGTCCGGTTTCGATTAGTCCGAATCTAACTGCTTTAGCTAGTCCACTATTTCCGGGCTTGTTCAGCCGGCCGGAGTTTAGGACTGCCTCGGCTAGTCAGGGGCTGTAACGTGGCTGCCTCGGCTGGTCCGGTCTAACTGCTCTGGCTGGTCAGGGGCTGTGGCTGCCTCGGCTTGGTTAGGGGCTGTACTGCCTCGGCTGGTCCGGGTCTAACTGCCCTGGCCGGTCAAAGGCTGTAACTGCTTCGGCTCTTTCAGTCGGACAGCATCGGCTAGTCCTTGTCTTTAGGAATTTTGAAACCTCACTGGTTCAGGTTTGTGTAGACGTGTTTAGGATTCGGAAGCATTTGGCTGTTTTTGGAAGCATTCCAGTCCGGGCTCATAACCTGTTAAAATATGCTGGGCATGATTCAAGATTCCTTACATTGCTTGCTTGTCTAGCAGAGTGCCTTTTGTAGGAGGTGGGAAAGGTTATGGCCTTATATACATAGTGGGCAGCCTGGTGTGGCTCGTGCTCCTAGTCACTAGCCAAAGGCATGTGACATTTGTCATCTCAACACCACTGCCGCACCTCCGGTGCTCGGTACAGATGGACCGCACTGTTCGTGGACAGCCTCCTAAGGTCGGATGGGAAAGGCTTCTAGTTGTATTGCAAAATATCTAGAAGCTGTCCCATTTTCTAAGTACAAAAAACGGTCGTACAGCGACCCTCTGCTTCCTTTTTATAAAGGGAGCAGAACAGAACGCGGAGGCGTTGTTTGGGGCGCTCCGCGCCCTGAGTGCGGAGATCACGTGCACGGTCCGGTGTGTTTGTCCGTCCGGCTCCAGTATGGAGCCCGGATCTAGAGCGTGAATTCTTCTGGACCAAAGTTCTCCTAACCTTGGACGCCAGTTCCTGTGCGATCACGAGGTGCCCTTCCAACAATAACGACGTTGATTGTCACGGCCGGATAATCCTAGACATGTCGCGAGGGCGGTGATCTATTGGCACCTATAAACGGGGGTTCCATGGTGAGGAGGAAGGAGGTATTGTACATGACGGGGGGCGGCGTGGTAGGGTTTTATAATTGAGTTCCTTTCACTTGGCCCATCTCCCTGCCTTGGTGCCCGAACCGTCACGTTGATTAGCTCCCTTAGCCTTAATTACCATGTGCGTGACCATAATGGAAACCACGCTAATTTGTCGTTTCCTACCGTTAGCATTGCTGTACTGTCTAATACGCCCGGCAGAGGCACCGCGGGTCGCGCTAGGAAAAGTTATTGCACTCACAAGACCAGCGCGGCGCCGACAATAACAACGACGCCATATCTGGTGCCGTGAACCAGCACCCAAAGCTCCGGGTTGACGCCGTCAGGGATGACGGAGAGGTTTGCATTGTTCGGGATCGCCCACTGGTCGGCTGTGGAGAGCGCCAGGTTCCATCTGACGACTGCAAGGACCAACTGTGACAGGAAAACAGTGCGTTGATAGGATCTATTGGGTGCTTATCTAGATCTCTGAGGAGAGAAGGAAATTAGTGCACAAGGCCGTAGGCCCTGCGTGCTTTATATACACAAAAGGGATCTCTCCTCTGTAGGCGCGGTATCCATTACCGCGCTCCCGTCATCGCATTTGGGTGCTTATCAAGCATATGGCGTGCGTGGCCTGTGGCGAGTGATCGGCGCCCTCGGCGAGTGACCGGCGCCCTCGGCGAGTGGTCGGCGCCCATGACGCGCACTCGGCACCCCGGCGCCGTGCGCCAAGCCCTCCATGACGCCTCCTTTGTGACACCAACGCAGCGGCAGGAAGACCGACAGAAACGATCGCCATTATAGCAACCACTATCGGGGCACTGATGAGGGAAACGAGCGGCCAAAGGAGGAAGGACAATCCCAGGACCTACAAAGCAATATATTTAGACGCTAACAGGCCTAGGGGGCGTTCAAGCTAGAGATGGGCTGGATGCAAGCAGATTGAGGTTACTTACGGTGGAAAGCAGGAAAATGACGGCTGCTTTAAACTCGGGAACTGGAATACCGGCACAAAGAAGGATAATAGTGTAGATACAAACGAGAGTGCCGGTCAAAGACCACGTGTGACCAAGGGGCTGGCTAATGGACGACATTGCGAAATGAATGCTGGAGATTTTGAGGGGAAAATGCGTGCGAGGTTGCAGATATGGGGCGGTTGGATGACGAAGTGAGCCGTTGAAGTATGGTGTTGTTGGCAGCAGCAATTTGGGCTTGGAACCAGCAGTACTTATACTAAACGGCTATCGCATAGCCTTGCCCGAAACCCTTCGTTTGGGAAACAGCCACCTACCTCCTGGCAAAGCAATTGTAGGGAGCGCCCCTTCCATCTCTTGCTATAGGTTGTCACTTGCCTACCGTTTTCCTAAGGCAGCGGCTCGGCCAGAATCCCCAGCAACGCCCTGGCGCCATACCCCGCATCTGGATGTTACAAGCCTCTCAGGCAGGGGGTAAAGATGTGGGACTGTTTTACGGTTTCAGTGTTGGCATGAGGGTTATACGCTGTGGGAGGGACTGCTAGGGGGGTGGGTGCAGGTGTGCTTATCCAGTGGGGCTATTCGGTTCGCACGTTAGATAACTAACCCACCAATTCAACCTTAGTTGTGCTCCTGATGCAACAAGGGTAGCTTACCAGCCATGCAGCTGCCAAGGCGTACTACCGTGTAAATGTAATCCCTTGATACGACGCCAAGATATCGGTTTCCTGCACGTTTGCAAGGTATATGAAAAGTCATGTCCATTTCTGGCTTTAGGAATCCCTGTCACAACAGATCCCTGTAGCAATTACGCTGCCAAGAAAAGCCAAGATGAGAGCGTGAAAAAAGTCGAAATTGCCGCATGAGCTGCGCTAGGCATCGGCGCTATTGTACTGTTACCCCATTATAATCGCTGCCCTCAGACAGGCGACAGGGAACATGTTGCCACGCACGACAACCCAATGGGTTTTGCTGAGCGCCCGGTGAGCGAGCAAGTACCTTGCTCCCCGCCCCACCGTTCCAACCGAGATTGGCACCCCGGACGGAGTGTGCATCCCCTACAGCGCGCAAACCATCCCTCCCCAGCCCTTTTGGCCGGATTCCACCGCAAGACGCTAGCCTCATACAGACACGCCCCCCTTACCCGCGGCCCATTGAAGTCTCTGCGGTTAACACCTTTCTTAATCCCTTTTCGAGTTTCTATCCTTGAGCGCTAGCCTCCCCCGGACATGCCCGCGGCCCCTTGCTTTAGGCAGCTATATCCTAAGTCAAAGCACCCCCTGTCGGGTCACCCCCACAGTCGGGTCACCAAACCCCACCAAAAACCACTAAAATACACCCTTTTCAAATTGCAATTAAAAATCGAAAAAAATCGTACAAAGATTACGTAAGCTGCGTTATATAAACTAATGGCTAAATTTTTTACATAAAATATAATAAAAATATAAAGCTCGCGAAATATGGAATTTTAAATTTTTGAATTGCAAAGGGTAAAAATACATACATTTTATATATAAACACTTTTTTAGGTAAAAGTCCACTTTTTTGTATATAATAGCTATAAGATAAATATGCTATTAAAACGAGAAAAATTCGTAGAAAGGTTGGATATATAATATTATATATAAATTTTTTTTATAAATGTAAAAATTTAAATCTTTAATTTTGCATTAAAAATTTGTTAGTAACTGTTACGGCCATGGTCGAAGACTAGAACACAGTCAATTGGCGCTACGAACGAAGATTCTAATCTAGGGGAAAAAGGAAGGGAAGAGGGGATTCTGGTGCTCGGCGCGCGGAACGTGCGCCTTGATCATGGTTCCTCATGTGGGTCCTCGTCTGTGGGTCAAGGCCCGCGGGCCTTGACCTAAATCGTCACAGTAACAATTTCTATAGGAATATTTTACCATTATGCGAAAATATTTAACGTAGTTCATAGGCGAGTGAATCAAATAGGCGAATGGATTACCCGCAAATGCATACAAAAAATGTCGGTGCACTTTGTTCAATTTATGGTAAAAAGTTCTGAAAATTTAACCAGTTATTATCAAGTATATTTCTTACGTAAAACTATTTTTTCCGGAATTTTATTATTATTCCTTTTAGGTTAATTTGCATTTTTGCATATTTGCACAGTGTATTATACAGTAGTATAAATTAACTCAAAAGGAATAATAATAAAAATCCGGAAAAAATATTTCTACGTAAGAAATATACTTGATAATAAATGGTTAAATTTTCAGAACTTTTTACCATAAATTGAACAAAGTGCACCGACATTTTTTGTATGCATTAGCGGGTAATCCGTTCGCCTATTTAATCCACTCGCCTATGAACTACGTTACATATAATATTATATATCCCATTTTTTTACAAATTTTTCTCTTTTTAATAATATATTTATTTTATAACTGTTATATACAAAAAGTGGACTTTTACCTAAAAAAAGTGTTTATATATAAAATGTATGTATTTTTACCCTTTGCAATTCAAAAATTCAAAATTCCATATTTCGCGAGCTTTATATTTTTATTATATTTTATGTAAAAAATTTAGCCATTAGTTTATATAACGCAGCTTACGTAATTTTTGTACGATTTTTTTCGATTTTTAATTGCAATTTGAAAAGGGTGTATTTTAGTGGTTTTTGGTGGGGTTTGGTGACCCGACTGTGGGGGTGACCCGACAGGGGGTGCTTTGACTTATCCCTCGCTTCTCTCCCTTTTTTTTCCAACGTGTAAGCTTGGGTGAGTCCACGCTTCGCACCACCCCGTGCCCATTACACCTCCATACGCCCCAGAGCTCACACCCCCATACACCCACAGGTTACACCCCCACACACCCACAGGTCACACCCCCATACACCCACAGCTCACGCCCCCATACACCCACAGCTCACACCCACAGCTCACACCCCCATACACCCACAGCTCACACTCCCACACACCCACAGCTCACACCCCCATACACCCACAGGTCACACTCCCACACACCCACACACCCATAGGTTACACCCCCACACACCCAGAGCTCACACCCCCACACACCCACAGGTTACACCCCCATACACACAGGTTACACCCCCCATACACCCACGGGTCACACCCACAGGTCACACCCCCATACATCCCATAGCTCACACCCTCGATGTTCGCCCAGAGCCGACCGACGAAGGCGCTGAACGTCCCGAGGAAAACCCGGACACCGTACTCCGCTAGCCTCTTCGCTTGCGCCCTGCCATCACCACAAACACCAGCACTACAAAAGCACCCGCCAAAAACGATAGGAGCGACCGGGAAGCAAAATTTATAAAATTGATATTCGGTGTTACGGCCATGGAATAAAGTCAATTGGCACTACGAACGAAAATTCTAACCTAAGGGAAAAGGGAAGGAAAGAAGGGATTCCGGTATTAGGCATGCGTTTAACGTGTTTTAATGATAGTCCACCGTGTGGGTCCTGGTTAGTGGGTCGGGGCCTATGGGCCTTAACCCAAATCGTTACATTCAGAACGACTTGGAGGGAAGGATTCGCATGTTCCGCCCAATTCTTTACTTGGCAGAGAAGCAAGGTTATATGCCAAGGTCGCCAAGGCCCAGGGCCTGTCAATCGAACTGAGGCGTTAAACATGGCTAAGAAGGGGGGGGGGGGGGGGTGCGGATACGAACTACCCAAGGGCTTATCGACCGGGTGAAAATAGCAATATTAGGCTGTGCTAGGCCACAAGTCTACTACGCTACAATATGATACGCCATAAACACTAGTCACACTCGGCGCAATAGCACAAAAATAATCCACAAGGCCCCGGTCTGCCAAGATATTTGAGGGGAGGGGGGGGGGGCGTATCGTTATTTGCCAAGGTAGCATCCCAGTCCGCCAAGATGTGGGGGGCGTGTTTTTCCTTTGCCAAGAGAGTATCCTGGTCTGCCAAGAGCGCAGCCAAGGCACAAGACCCCAGTGCCAAGCTGTGGAGCATTCACCAACCCCTGCAAAAAAAGAGTACTTGCATTTCAGAGCCAGTTTTTGCTCTTTATACAGTAGGCTGGAAATCCTGCTTGCAAGGTACCCCGGCGAGCCCGTGACATGAGGCTGGGTTCGCAGCAGGATTCGGCCATCAGGCAGCATTTCGTCTTAACACCAAGCTTAACCCGGCAAGCTCTATGCTTTAAGCACTTTCTATGCCCCATTATTTACGTTCAAGGGCAACTAATCCACTTTTATCCGGCCCTGGGGCCCACCTTAATCCGCATTCGTCCAATTTGCATGGTGGTCAATACGACTCCCAATCCCATTATCACACTGTCGTAAATAGCGAGATTTCGATTCCATATCAACGGGACACCCCCTCTATTTGGCTTACACCGGCCGTGCTTGTATTTGTTGTTGGTTTTCTTTTTTTCTTTTTTTCTTTTTTTTCTGCTTTTTGGACTCACTGCGGTCCGCCAGTGTAACACCTCAGTGACATTGGGCATCTCAGCCCATGACTAGCATGACGGCTCGATGTACAAGCCGCCTTCCAGTTATGACGAAGCCCCAGGGAAAGGTTTACGGCGTGGCACTCGACGCGCGAACCGCCCTCTAGTCATGACGAAGTCTCAAGAGAAGGATTACAACATGACGGCCGGAGGCCGCCACGATACCATGTATAACTAGGGCCTGCAAGACTCCCTGTCAAGGGGTCTGGAGGGCAAGCAACCGTTTTTGTTTTTGTTTTGGTTTTTTTTTCGGTTCAGTGCTGCCAGGCACCTTCTGCTGAATACACCACTGCCCCGCACGCTTCCTCAAAACAGCTGAGTGACCTGAACCTCTGAGATCTCCCAGCGAGAACCCCTTCCAGTGCACAGCACGTTACAGCCAGTGTTCCACGTGGACTCTAGCTAGGGCGTCACCGTTTGCAAAGACCGCAATTTGGCGCGTCGCACAAAAACTGTCGCCCCACCACTTTGCCAGCCAGGAAGCAGAGTACACGTCCTATCAGCTGGGACATTCGCACCTTAACTTTTCTGCAAAGGTAAAAGGAAACGGCCAAACATCTGGAACTTCCATGCACAGGGTGTAACACCCCCACCACCACGGCAGACACCTCGTCAACCACGCCCCACACCGAACAGCGAACAACGTAGCTGCTGCCCCCCTTTTCTTCTAGTCCGCACGGCTCTCCGCCCGGTCCCAACACGTCGAACGGCCGTGTGTTGCTGCGCCCGGTGGTTATATTAGGTAAATTATCAATATCCCCATCCCAGCCATTATTCATCAATCCTTTTGCAACAACAGGTTTTGTTATTACCTGTTACCTCACAAACAAACCGCACATCCGACAACGTTGTGTAGAAAATAAACCACCACCAGCCCATATTATTTACATTTTCCATTCCATTTTTCCCTCGCATTCCCCAGTTGCCCGTTTTCTAACCCATTTATATGCTTTCCATTTTTTCCAATCTTTAAATCTCCCTAAAGCTTTATCGATTTGTGCGACCACCACCCGACCACATAACTATCACACAGCCCTCCTCCCCCGGTTTTTAGGCGCTATAAAAACCCTAAAGCACTGCGCAACAACAAACCCACCCCTAGCCGCCGCCTGCTAACTTTAGCATTGCCAACTCGGCTGCCATCGGGGAAATAGCTGCCGTACCTTTTATCAAACAGCTCCGGAGATAAATGTCACATTATCTGGACGACCCCGAGGTTGGGGGGGTTACCGAAACCACTCCACTCAACGGCCGCCGCCCGGCTCCGCGCTCCCCATGGGTCTGTTTTTTAATCGATGCGCACCGCGCCCCCGGAGATGACAGTGGCAACTTTGCCGTCAAAGCCGCTGCCAACACATGGCGCGTTCTCAAGATCTCGCTTCAAAGCAGTACGTCTTGGGTGCCTGCCTTGCCTACCTGCCATATAATCCACCCGTTTTCGACTCCTTAGGCTAGGTATATTTAACGTCTGTAGCGAGTGCTGCCTCACTCTGGCCTCCCTAGGGGCATTAGACGTGCTAGCGACTACCAGATGTTCTAGATACAGGGTCTAGCCCACCGACTGCTGTCACGGTAGCTAGCAAACCAAGCCCATCGGCCGACCAGTGTCGGCCTTCAGCACATGCATAACAAGCCGCATCCCGAGGCCCCTGACTGGCGGGCTGGTTTTTCGACTCCTTATCCAAACCCCACCCCTTTTTTTCCCCCTAGGTGGCCTAAAGCTGCCACCCATGCACGCGCTCTACGTTTCTGGGAGGTGACTTAAGCGTGTCCATCAGCATCAGCTTAGCGCCAGCTAGCTAGATTGCCTGCCGGCATGCCGAAAAGCATTCTTTCCTTTCGGGGTCAAACTCCCGCGACCGCTATCGCGTTCCCTAAATTATCAGTTAGCGGTCCGCTAACATAACGCTCGGTCGGTAGGTCCTGTTAATATCCTAATCTTCTTCGCCCCCGTCGGCCTCATCGCCGGGATTATGGGTTGGTCCCCAATATCGGTCTTTACGTTGAATTCCCTCGCGATCATCCCCCTGGCCGCCATCCTCTCCTTTGCCACAGAAGAAATCTCTATCAAGCTGGGTGAAACTGTCGGAGGGTTGGTGAATGCAACCTTTGGAAATGCTGTCGAGTTGATCGTGCGTGTAACCCCCTGAGCCCCCTGGAACCCTTAAATCGGCAAGAATCCTGGGGACTGACATGGCCCTTTTTTCCGGCCCCCTCCAGGTCAGCGTCATTGCCTTGAAGCAAGGACAGATCGAAATCGTCCAGGCCTCTATATTGGGTTCTATTCTTTCGAACCTGCTTTTGGTTATGGGAATGTGCTTCCTCCTCGGCGGAATCGCCAACATGCGATCGCCCAATGGCGCTGGCATCGAGCAGAAATTCTCCTCAGGAACTGCGCAAACAACGTCGCCTTTAATGACCCTGGCCGCCGCCTCGATGACCATACCCACGACCCTTTACGGCATCCTTAACGGCAACATGGATCCCGATAAAAAGGACGCCTTTATCCTTACACTTTCCCGCGGAACTTCCATTATCCTTTTGATGCTTTACTGCTTATATCTATATTTCCAGCTTAACACGCACAAAAATCTTTTCATAGCGGACCCGCCCCAGTCCACTCAAAACGGTTTCGCTAATGGCGTCGACGTCCACCCGGAGTTAGATTTGGGATCGGAGGAAGAGCAGGAGCACATGGTTTGGTGGGCCGCCGCGCTGGTGCTGATTGCCGTCACCGTTATCATTTCGTTTTGCGCTAACTACCTGGTCGAGAGCATCGAGCCCATCGTTGAGACGGGCGTACTTAGCCGCGCTTTTATCGGCCTGATCCTGATCCCCATTGTGGGCAACGCCGCTAAGCACGTTACGGCCTGCGTCGTTGCTGTACGTAACAAAATGTGGGTAATATTCTAGCGTTTTTTCCTTCTTTGATCCGGGAGCCGGCCGGTTTTTAAATTTCCCGAAAAGCTCCGGGGCCTTTCGGCTTCCGAGACGTCTTTGGTCGATGCTTTTAATATACATAAAACGGATGAAAGCTAACTTTAAAACGTTGCAGGGATCTCGCGCTGGCGGTGGCAGTTAGTTAATCCCCTTGCCATTTAAACGTTTTTCGTACATGGGAAAGGTAGCTAATATTATTACAGATCGGTTCGAGTATACAAATTTCCCTGCTCGTAACCCCAGCCCTGGTCATTACGGGCTGGCTGGCACTCGACCAGCCTATAAGCCTCCACTTCGAGACGTTCCAAACCGTCGCTTTTGGGCTTTCGGTCCTTATCGTTACGTGCACGGTCCAAGACGGCAAGTCCAACTACCTCGAAGGCGCTATGCTTCTAGGCTTGTACATCATCATCGCCATCGCCTTCTACGCCAGCCCGCAGAACGGCCTAGATGTTACGGTTCGGCAGTAGGAGCTTCCACCCACTTGCTACCAAAAGAACGACTAAGCCAAAGTCGAACTTCGGCTCAATTGGAGGCTCAAGTACCCTTTGTGAGGTAAGGCTGCACGAGAGGGCACGCCACGCCGTAACACTAAATGTGTCCCTCAGCTTTCATCGAAAGGTCGGCGGAATGATCGCTTCGGGTTAGCCGGGTATTTTCGGTCTCCCATCGTTGGTTGGTAGCTCTACCTGTTTCCTTTGTTTGGGAGCCAGCCCCCTGGTTAACTCAATTTCCCACGAGCCTAAAAGTGATTATACTTCAGCTGGAGGAAGCATGTTTGCTTTCAACACAGGTTTTTTAACGGCATATCCTCAAGCGGGAAATTGTTACGAGAACCAGTGTATAACCTACCTTTTTTTCATTTGTTCTACTATCCAAACCTTATTTTCTCTGGTGGTTGTTTCATATGTTTCCTTTTCGCTTTTCTTTCCCTATCCCTCTTTCCCCATTTTCCTTCCTGTTTGCGGACAGCCCGTTAGGGTTCGGTGGGAAAAGCTCCTAGTTGCAATGCAAAATATCTAAAAGCTGCTCCATATTCTTTAAGTACAAGAGAGGGTCGTACAACGACCTTCTGCTCCCTTTTTATAGAGGGCGCAGAACAAAACGCGGGCGCGTTGCTCGGGGCGCTCCGCGCCGAGTGCGGAGGCCACGCGGCTATGTACACCGTCCGGTGTGTTGTCCGTCCGGCTGCAGTATGGAGCCCGGATCTAAAGCGCGAATTCTTCCGGACCGGGGTTTTCCTGGCCTTGGACGCCGGTTCCTGTGTGACCATGAGGTGCCCTTCCAATAACATAAATAAGAAATTGTCACGGTCCAACGTAGGCAACGAGGCAAGCTGCGATATCCGTAGGTTGAATTGGCTATTAAAAGGTAAAGAGAAGAAAGGGGAAAAGTTGTGCGTTGCATGGCGATAGCGGAATTGCCCAAATAGGCACGCGTTAGCCTGTGCAACGCAGGCCCGTGCGTAGCACCTGGCAGGCAGCCAATTCGGGCTGCCGCGCCATAACGGAAATGACCCCTGGTTGTGGGAAATATTTAGCTGCAATAAAAAACAATAATCTAGGATTAAACCCAGTTGTTCTTTAAGATTAAATTTAGCTTATAAATCCGAGCGCAATAAATGGATTGATGAGCCGTATCTACTTGTCTTTTTTTAAACTTCCTGTTAGCTTATAAAATCGACTCTTTAAATAGTTTTCACTTGTGAATCGCGTAGTAGTTTATAAAGCAAATATGCCGTATAAATCCAATTACCAAGCTACAAGGCCGTATCCTATACGTCAACAGGGTTCTGTAATATACACGAGCACAGTTTTGAGTACGATATACGAGGACCTGAGCGAAACATAGTGTAAAGTGCGCTTCGACACCGCGAGTGGTCGTTACTTCAATTAGTAGCTAAGCAGCTAGGATTAAGATGATAAAGATTGAAGTTGGCAAGCTGCGGATAATTTACGAACTAATTTTTAAATGCCAAAATAGCAAGATGAAAATTTTCATAGCATGGGAATTTTTATAGACTCTGGGCTAATTATAGTGCCGAATTGAATTAGATCACGTGATAAACGCTGCGGCGTTAAAGGCAGTACCCGATGGCCCTAGTAAAACGCCGCGGTTGTAGCGTGGCGCCTGGAGAGTCGCTGAGCCGCTGTGGCGACTGATTGGACAGGGGGCCCGTGCACTGGACCCACGGGTAGAGAAAACGCTGCACGCGGGAATGAGTGCAACGCACCCAATCCCTCCTTTGTACTCTTCACCTTTAGATAGTCATATCAACCTGGTTTTGACTGCAGCTCTGCCTCTTTGCCCTACGTGATCTCTAACAGCCACGACCCTAGTGCACAACTTTGTTTGTACCCTTTGTAACATCCCGGTGACGTTGGGGATCTCAGCCCATGACTAGCATGACGGCTCGATGCACTCTCTCTGTTCTTACTAGGAATTCTGTCCCCTAGGTTGCCCTTATATCGTTTAATCCGACAGCCTGGAGAACATTTCCACAGTTGTTGGTCTTAGCGCTAAATCCCTGAATCCTTGCGCTAAATCCTGAATCCTTACGCTGAATCCTAGCGCATGGGCTCTGTAGATGCCTAGAAAGAATGCCTTGCGGCTGATACAAGCCGCCCCCCAGTCATGACGAAGTCCTAGGGAAAGGTTCACAGCGTGGCACTTGACGCGCGAACAGCCCTCCAGTTATAACGAAGTCTTAAAGGAAGGATTACAGCATGACGGCCGGAGGCCGCCACGATACCATGTATAACTAGGGCCCGCAAGACTCCCTGTTAAGGGGTCTGGAGGGGAAGCAAACGTTTGTTACGGCGCGGCGTGCCCTCCGTGCACTTGCAGCCTTGCCTCTCGTGTGCGTTGGGTGTATGAGACCCTTATCGCATTCAGAACAGCAGTTCTGATTGTCCTGGCTTTCTAGCAGAGATGGGAGGGGTCTCTCTTTGTCTAACCGCCGTGACACCGTTTTTGTTTTTCCTATTCAGTGCTGCCAGGCACCTTCTGCTGAATACACCACTGCCCCGCACGCTTTCTCTAAACTGCTGAGTGACCTAAGCCCCTGAGATCTCCCAGCGAGAACCCCTTCCTGTGCACAGCACGTTACACCCTTGTCCTCAGCTTTGGATCGCGACTGCAACAGAAGCCATATCTGTGACGATCTAGGTTAAGGCCTATGGGTCTTGACCCATAGACGAGGACCCACACGAGGGACCATGATTAAGACGCGCTGAACGCGCGCCGAACACCGGAATCTGTCAGATACGAGGGTGCTCGATGGTACCGTGGACAGGATTTAGAAGATTTTAGATGGACACGAGCACGGGCAGAGCCCGTGCACAGAAAATATGCTCTGTGTATATCTACGAGAACGGTGATCTCCTTCGAAAGAAGGAGAAATAAAACAGGCGCATTTTTTACACAGATCGATGACTAGAGATAGTGCTTTCTGACAGAATCCCCTCTTTCCTTCCTTTTTCCCCTAGATTAGAATCTTCGTTTGTAGCGCCAATTGTCTATGTTCTAGTCCTCGATCATAACCGTAACAGCTACCATCTAGTAATGCTGTTAAGTTAAAAGTCAAGAAATATGATTTACTTAATATATCGAATAACATGGATGACTTAAGTATTATTACAGCTGTAATTTGCTAAATGTTACATGCACATTTAAATTCCACCATATAGACTAGGTTTCTGTAGCTGATCGAAACTTTTGTTCAGGAAAATATTATGGATTTAACAGTAAGAATATACGCAGTTTGTTTAGGTGGTATTATAGCTACCATGCTTAGTATTAATATTTTAATAAAATTGAAAAGGCAAATAAGTACATTAAATTTTACACTTCATACCTTCGGCCAATTCTCGGCTGTTACAGTCCTTGTTTTAGTATTATTCGTTTTTACCAATGTTTTAATTCTATGTTACGATACGTCATCACTATTTTCAACAGCCGGATATTTATCCTTGATCAATATGATGCTGTTATACGTCAGCATTGATTTGGATCTTTTTGCCCACTTTCTTGGGTTTACTCGGTTATATTGGGCGCTAATTCATCGCTCGGTAGCATGGATGTCCTCCAGTCTTCTGGTATTTCACGTAGCTGGCATTTTGATTACTAAATGGCCGTTTCCGATAGAAAGAAATGAGTATATCCACGCTTTCTCGGTAGGTATTTCAGTCACGCATTTGATTGAAATTTTGCTAATAGTTATAGGGCACTTTAGCAATGATTTTCATGAATATATTGTCTGTCGCGTTTATGAAGAAGCGTTTTTATGAAACATTCATACGGTTTCATCAACTGCTTGCTGGAATGGTAGCATTTGGCGTTATGCGTCATCTATGGCCGCATCTCAATTTCCTGGAGCCGGGATTTACAGAAATTACAATTATTATTATTTGTTTCACTTTTACAGGTTTACTTTTAATCCGAACCGGCTATGCACTCTATCTCAACATTAGCGCAGGCAGAATGAATTGTAAAGCAAAAATAGGGTTATGGCTTTCAGCGTCGGGACCGGGCGAGGGACCTATAAGAATAACCTTGACCTTGACTCGCTCAATGAAGATTGAAGCAGGTCAATACATTTATTTAACAATTCCTTCGCTTGGCTTATTTTGCTTTTTCCAAAGTCATCCATTTGTTGTTATATCATGCGCGGAACAAGCTCAAAAAACTCTAGAACTTTTTATAGAACCTCGTAAAGGTTTCACATCAAAGTTATTATATCATACGAACAGCCCTAAGGTACGAACAGCCCTTATTAGTGGGCCTTACGGTGTCAGTATTCCCATTATCAACTTCGACACCATTTTAATGGTAGCAAGTGGATATGGTATAGCAGCGCAAATGCCATATCTTGAAAAGCTGCTCGCTAGCGGTAAAGGTCCACTAGCGTATAATATTCATGTTGTATGGCTTATTTCAACTCTTGGTACGTTAATGTATTGAGAAAGCTAGCACTGATGACATTACTAACGTTAAACAGATATACTTAATTCAGCTGCAAATTGCTCCCTAAATCGCCTTTTGGAGGAGGATTTACAACGCGTAAGGATTACCACCTGGCGGAAATATAGGCTTGCTGACCAACAAATAGGTATTGTTAATTTCAATTTATTCGAATTCGAATGAGGTTCATTATAGTAGGTATGGTGAGCGCGCAGCATCATTCAAAGGAGATCCTGATTTCAGTAAAATTATAAGTGGTGAGATAAACGAGAACTTCTTTACAAAGGGAAGCAACTTTGGAGAAACTGGCAAAATGCTCGTTTTAGGTAAGTTTGGTAAAAATGGAAAGTCGGTGAAATGCTAATATGGGTTCTAGTTTCCGCAAATGAGAAATGCAAAAGCCGCTTGAAAAGGGGCTTACGTGAAAGTTTGAATAAAAACCAAAAGCTTTCGCTTTTAGGAGGCGATACCCAGGTACGCCGAGATGTTTTGAAAATTTCATATAGAGAGTTAGAATTTCAGCCTTAGTTGTTAGAGATCACGTAGGGCAAAAAGGCAAAGCTGCAGTTAGCACCAGGTTGATATGACTATCTAAAGGTTAGGTTAGGTTAGGTTAGGTATATTTAACATTTGTAGCGAGTGCTGCCTCACTCTGGCCTCCCTAGGAGCATCAGACGTGCTAGCGACTACTAGATGTTCTATATACCGGGTCTAGCCCACCGACTGCTGTCACGGTAGCTAGCAAACCGAGCCCATTAGTTGACTAGTGTCGGCCTTTAACACATGCATAACAAGCCGCATCCAGAGGCCCCTCACTGGCGGGCCGGTTCTCGGTGGTAGTGGCACTGGGTGCCTCAAAGCACTGCTGTTGTGGCGTGGCGCCTGGGGAGTCGCTGGGCCACCGTGGCGACTGATCAGGCAGGGGGCCCGTGCACTGGACCAACGGTTGGAGAAAACACTGCACGTGGGAATGGGTGCAACGCACCCAATCCCTGCTATTGCAAAGTGGAAGGGATGGCACAGTAGGCTTCTATTAAAGGATGAATCTGTTCGCGGACAGCCCGTTAGGGTTCGGTGGGAAAAGCTTCTAGTTGCAATGCAAAATATCTAAAAGCTAACGTGGTTCATCACCAAGTCGGACATATCACCGAGTCGGACAGTTAAAAATCCCATAATAAACGCGATTTTCGATACCCTTGCTAATTCGGCCTATTTAAGCCCATATTTAACCAAATTTAAACAGGTTATATTCAACTACGCAGTAAATTTAACTCAATTTTCTTAAATTTTTAGTAGTACCCTTTTAATGTTAGTTCTAAATACTGTATTGTACACTGTGTAAAATATGCAACTAACCCTAAAAGGGTACT